TTCAATCCCCGGCATCCCATATAGTCCCCCACGCACCGCCAGGAATAATTCCTGAGTGCAGAGCCAGGAGCAACCACTGAGCATTGCTGGGTTTGACCCCCCCCACCCAAAAAAAAAAGATAAAGAAAAAGACTCAAGTCTGAAGGAAGCTCAGCTTCACCACTAGCTCTTTGACTGTGCTGGAGCAGATCACTTCATGCACTTGGAATGCAGTTTTGTCATTTGTCAAATAAGGTTAAAGAAACCTGGGGTGTGGGTGAGGGGTTAGCTCACAGGGACGGGGGCGAGCCTTGCCTGTGTATGGAGACCCTCTGGCTCTGTGTGGCCGCCCACTGTGGCTGGGTGTAGCCCTCTCCAGTGACGCCAGCACCCTGGCCTGACTACTGACCCTCGGGCCCACACAGTACCTCTGGGCGAGGACCCTGATCCCGAACTGCACTGCAGAAAAGGGACAAAAACCAGTGTTTTGCATTCTGAGACTTAAAAGCACCTATATGAGGGCGTTTTTTTTGTAAGTTACAAAACATAACAAAGTTTAGGTGATAATAAACTTTCTTTAATATTCACGTAGTTCAATACCTTTTATTTATTTCAATACATTTTATTTATTTATTTGCTTTTGGGGTCACACCTGGCGATGCAGAGGGGTTCCTCCTGGCTGTGCACTCAGGAATTACTCCTTGTGGTGCTCAGGGGACCATATGGGATGCTGGGAATCGGACCCGGATCAGCCGTGTTGCAAGGCAGCCCGCCCTACCCGCTGTGCTATCGCTCCAGCCCCGTACATTTTATAATATTCAAACCATGCCTTCGATTTTATGTCCCCCTTTTTTTTTTTATTTTTGCTGTTGTTATTTGGGCCACAGTTGACAAGGGTGGAGGGCCCAGACTCTGCACTCAGGGGTCACTGCTTGAAAGGACTCGGGACCGTTTTGGGGTGCCAGGAATCAAACCCGGTCAGCCACATGCAAGGCAGTTACCTTACGTGCTGTCCTATCGCTCTGGCTCCTAGATTTTTGCAGTGTTTTCAAGATTTACCCGTGTCGTATCAATACGTCATTTTACTTTTGATTGTCGACTAATACTTATAGGTTTATCACATTGTTTATTCATTCAGTTGATGAACATTTGAATTATTCATGCGTTTTGGTTATTATGAAATAACGCTGCCATGAACATGTGTATGAACATTAGTGTTATTCACTCATATGGTAATTCTCTTTTTGACATTCTGAGGGACTGCCAAATTGTTTTCTAAAGCAATTTACATGTCTACCAGCAATGTCAAGGATTCCAGCTTCTCCACCCTTATTGACCCTCCTTACTACCTTTTTTTTTTTTTTGCTTTTTGGGTCACACCCGGCGATGCTCAGGGGTTGCTCCTGGCTCTGCACTCAGGAATTACTCCTGGCGGTGCTCAGGGGACCATATGGGATGCTGGGAATCGAACTCAGGTCGGCCGCGTGCAAGGCAGACGCCCTCCCCGCTGTGCTATCACTCCAGCCCCTCCTTACTACCTTTTTATTATAGCCATCCTAGTGGCTCTGAGCTCATTTCTCTTCGTGGGTTTTTTTTTCCTTTCTTTTTTTTTCTTTCTCTTTCTTTTTTCTTTTCTTCTTTTCTCTTCGTGGTTTTGATATGCATTCCCCTAGTGACAGGTCACGTGTAATGTCTTTTTCACTGGCCATTTTGTACATCTCCTCTGGAAAACTTTATGCTCACAGCCTTTGCCTAGTTTTTGATTGAGCTGTCTCTTTGCTTTTGAGTTGTACGGGTTCTTTATATATTCGGAGTTCAGGTCCCTTAACAGACACGTGCTTTGCAAATGTTTTCTCTCATCCTGTGGGTTGTCTCTTCGTGTACTTGGTGGTGTCTTCTCCCTCGCCTCCTTTACTGTTTATTAAGATAATTAACGTATAACATTGTGTAAGATTATGGTGTACGGCGTTGATTAGATAACGCTTCTATATTGCAAAATGATTACCACCAGGGCATTACTGACACCTGCGTCACACACATAATTGCTATCTCTTTTTTTGTGGTGAGAACGTTTAAGATCTACTCTCAGCGGCTTTCAAGTATATAATATAGCATTAATAGCTATAATCAGCACGCTGTATCTCACATCCCTGGCATTGGCAGTGTCCTTTGAAGCCCAGAGTTTTAAGTTCTGTGAGGTCCAAGACACACAGATATTTGTCACTTATGTTTTTGGTATCACATTGAAGAATCTTAATGGCCTAAACGAATGTTATGAAGATTAACTCCTGTGTTCTAAGAGTTTATGGTTTGAGGGCTTGAGAGATATTACAGCGAGCAAATGCCTGCCTTACCTGGGCTCAATCCCTGCCACCCCATACGGTTTCCTGAGCCTACCGTGGAGTAACCCCAGAATACCAGAAGTAAGCCTAAGCACCACTTACCAGGAGGGGTGCCCTCTGGTCCCCCCTCCCCCACCAAATAAGAGTTTTTGTAGAAGGTCTAAGCTAGATCTTCAGTCTTTTACATGTAGTTATCCATTTGTTCCAGTACTGCTTGTTGATACTGTATATACCCCCAGTACCACTTGTTCACTTGATCTCTTGACTTCCCGTTAATCGTTGATTTGCTCGAGCGGGCTCCAGTAACGTCTCCATCTATCCCTGTCACGTGCTAGTGTAGCCCAATGGCATCTGCTCGCTCTAGGAACACGAAGAGCCTCAAACCGATCGTTCACGATCTTGATGAAAAAGTCTGACCATCTGGTAGTTGGGCGGCCACGCGGTCTTTTGATATCCCGTGGAATCCAGTCGGTAACAGCTCTAGTCCAGCGGTCATCTTTAAATCTCATTACGTGACCGGCCCATCTGATTTTTGACACCTTGGCAAATGAGGCAGTGTGTTGCATGTATATAATTTTTCCTTGGAGCACTTTTCAAAAACCAGTTGCTAATAACTGTAGTTTAATTCTGAAAAAAAAAAAATTCTTAGGGGGTGGGGCAGTTTAGGCTACATCCAGCTACTCGGAGGGCTCACTCCTGGCTTTATGCTCATGGATCACTCCTGGCGAGGCTTGGGGGACCACATGCATTGCCAGGGATTAAACCCAGGTCAGCGGCGTGCGAGGCAGGTGTCTCAACCTCTCTGCTACCTCTGTTCCTCCAGAAAGTGTTTATTGCTGAACTCTCATTATTACATTTATTTATATGTCTGAACATTCTGCCATTCTTATGTGATTTTAATCATTGGAGCTTTATAGTCACCGAGGGTCTGAGTCCTTCAGCTTTGTTCTGTCTCACAGTTGTTTTCGCCTGTCCCCTTCTGAAAGGCAGTTGTCTTTGGTGTCCTTTCATGGAGAGACCTGATTTATAAATATCCAAACTAGGAAAGGGAAACTTGGATGGTCTGTGATTAAATCAGTGGCTGAATAGCGGAATGGTTTTATTTCATTTATTACATTTTTTGGGGAATGTTCCTTGTGTGCTAGACACTATGCTAGATCATAGGGAAATCGTAATGAACAATCAAGGGTCTCTGCGGTGATTTTTCTTTTTTCATAATTGATTTTTATTAAAAACACTGTCATTTGCAGAGGGGTTCATTATACAGTCGTTTCCAGCTTGTAGCATTCCAGCCCCACCAGTGTGACCTTCCCTCCCCCAATAACCCCAGTTTCTTTCCCAATCCCAACCGCTCCAGTGATCTTAAGTTGACTTCTGGCTTCCTTGTTTTTGAAAGGAGTGGGTTTTTTGTATTCTCAAGGGTGTGACTGTCATAAAAACAGATCGTGTTATGTAATTAGGAAGAGCGTTTACTCATCCTTTATTGAAGATCGTTAACATTGTTCTCCCTGATGGAATGAGAGTGTGAGGGGGTGGGAGAAGAGTATGAATGACCTCTCGGGTGTTGAACACTTTGAAAATAATACAGAAACATGGCGTGTTTCCATTGGGACCACTGTGCGAACACGCATCTCCTCGCAGTTAAAGTTCCCCTTGAAGACAGGCGCTCTTACCTCACCTGCCGTCACCCAGAGTGTATCAGAAGTATTAGGTATTGGGTGCGTTGTTGGCTGGATGATTGGGTAGGTCAAGTAAGCTGCAAATGAGAGCTTGAGTTTGCCTATTTATCAAGACCCTGCCCTCCAGGACCTTGATTTAATGCTTAAATGCTAACATGAGAGGCTCAGCGTGATATCCCCTTACAGAAGTCAAATTCATTGAATCACAATATAAAAAGCAAGAATGATATAAATAACCTGAATAAGTCACTTGGAGCCCACAGGATGGCATACATAGGGTGGTAGAGGAAGGCTTGAGGAGAGGGAGAATTTTTTGTTTGTTTTTTTGTTTTTGCTTTTTTGGGTCACACCCGGCAATGCTTACGGGTTCCTCCTGGCTCTGCACTCAGGAACTACTCCTGGCGGTGCTCAGGGGACCATATGGGATGCTGGGAATAGAACCCGGGTCGGCCGCGTGCATGGCAAACGCCCTACCCTCTGTGCTATCTCTCCAGCCCCCGAGGTAGAATTTTATAGAACTGAAGGCAAGCAGATTAATCGAGTGGAGGGCTCAGACCCTTGATCTGGAAAACCAGATCAAGAGTTAGTGATGGATTCAGATGACTCTGTCCCTTACTGAGCATTTAGAAATGTTGGCATTCCAGGTCATCTCATGTCTGAGAATGTTATGACTTTTAACCCGGAGCCAAGGCGGCTGAAGTCCCACAGTGAGAAGGTAGCAGTGCTTCTGTTCCAAATCCCGGTCACTCCATGATTAGATGCACTGGGAAGGAAAGAGACTCAGCTGTCCAGGGCGGGCACTCGCGTTCATGTACCATTCTTCGGCAGATGCTGTCCTGTGCCTTGGAGCGCTGGCCGGGAGATGGGTACCCTTAGGGACGTAGACGAGCTTAGAGCAATAGAACGTCGTAGAAACCTGGACAAGAGTTGGGCTGGGTGGTTTTCATTGTTCCTAGCATTTTCTTTCTCTTACAGTTTGATTTTCTTTTCTTTCTCCTAGAACGAGCCTCTGACCCCAGGTTATCATGGATTCCCGGCACGGGACAGCCAGGTCGGTATCTGCAGTTTCTGTATCACACGATGAAGGTACCAGTGGCAGCCACATGCGTCTTTGTAGCATACACAGCACTCACTGAAATTACTTTCTCTGAGAGAAGGTGGACTAGGAGGCGAGTAGGTAGGAGGAGGAGAAGGGTTTCAGCAGGGAATCGACATTTAGAGATACACATTAAATATATCCGCTGGAAAATCAGTTTGAAATTGTCGGTACTGGAAGGGTCAAGACTGAGTAAAGCACATTCATAATTACTTTTTTCTTCTTCTTCTTCTCCAAGCTAAATAATAATTTGGGGGGCAGCACACTTGGCAAATGCTCAGGGTTTATTCCTAGCTCTGCGCTAAGAATCCACTCCTGGTGGTGTTTGAGGGACTATCTGGATGCTGGGGATCGAATCAAGGTCTGCCGCATACAAGACAAATGCCCTCTCAGTTGAACGATGGTTTCAGCCCAATAATAATAATATACATATTTCTATATTAATTATTTTATTGAATCACCATGAGATAGAGGCCAACAAAGCTGTTTATGATTGGGTCTCAGTATTCATTTCATTCATTCATTCATCATCCTGTTATTCGTCGATTGCCTCGAGCAGGCCCCAGTAACGTCTCTTTCATCCTAGCCCTGAGATTATATTCAAGGCTCTTTAGGAGAATGAGACCCATCATTGTTACTGGTATTTGGCATATTTGGTACGCCACGGGGAGTTTGCCAGACTCTGCCCTGTGGGCAGGCTACATTCGATAGTAGCCAGTATTACAATGTTCCAATACCTGTCCCTTCACAAGTGTAATTTCCAAGCACCAATGTCCCTAGTTTCCCTCCCATCCTCCCAAATTATCCCCCACGCCAGCCTGCCTTTATGGCAGGCACATCTCTTGTCTGTCTCTCTTTCTCTTTCTCTTGTTGTAGGCATTGTGGTTTGCAGTACAGATGCTGAAAGGTCATCATGTACATCCCTTTCCCTACTTTCAACACTTAGTTCTTATCCAGAGTGATCATTTCCAACTAATGTTGTCATTGGACCCTCCTCTATCTTAACTATCCTTTCTCCCCCTCCCACCCCCATTCCCATGTGGTAATTTCCAACCATTGACTTGTCCTCTTGGCTTGTTTTCCCTGACCCTGGATATTAGTTTCATATTATTCTTTTAAAGCCTCACATTCTTGATACCGCAAAAGAAATGTTAGCAAGCCTCGGTGCTGTGCTAACCTCCTTATTCACCACCATTTATCCCTTGTCTACACAGAATTTTCGGTGCTTGTGATAACCTGCAACAAGAATTCTCTTTGATGGTTTTAAGCAGGGAAGGTTCTGCTCCAGAGGAAAGTTTCTGCCGCCTTCCTTGTTAGAGAGGGGAGGCTGATGGAGAAAGCCTAGGCCTTAGAGTGGGTTAGCGCAGAACTGCTTCCTGGGAGATTCTTCTGTGCGTTTGGGGTGAGAATATAAGATCCCTTCCTGGTTGTGTGTTGTCCGTTTTGGTCTTGAGTAGCTGGCCCAGAAGCAGAAGTAAGGTCAAACAACAGGTAGGTCGGTCTGAGAAACGTGTGTGGCTCTATGACGTGGGCCCTGAAATCGACCTTCATGTTGCTGCTTGGTAAAACTAACACTCTTCTGGTGGTTTGAGAGGGTCACTTGGAAAGAGAGTTGTCTATAAAGGCCACCATGATTAGGCAGGCCCAAGATATGAGTCATCAGACAGCTCAGTGGAAGGGTTGAGGCTTCCCCTTTCTAGAAGCAGGTTGTGTCTCATCACAGCCCCTGCGGGTGATCATAAAATCTGGGATGTCCCCACATAATAGCCACCTTTTGGGAGCCCAAGTTGTTGTCTGATGGCCTTTGATTTATAATACTGTTAATAGTGTTTCGGGAACTTCAGGGTTTCTGTTGTGACACCCGACCCTCCAGGAGCAAAAGTACAGCGGGGAGTGCTTTTGGCTTGCACACGGGCAACCCAGGTTCAATCTCCAGCATCCCAAATGGTCCCCCAAGCATCACCAGGAGTGATTCCTGAGCACAGAGCCAGGAAGAACTCCTGAGCATTGCTGGGTGTGGCCCAAAAAGCCAAAAAAAAAAAAAATCAGTGTCTCGCACCACTGTCACTATGTCCCCTCTCCCCTTACCCCTTCCCTGCCTTTGTAAAACTCCGTTCTGTTGGCAGACTCAGATCTGTTATCCACCTTTTTTTTTTTTAATTCCCTTCCTCTGTTTCTTTATACCCCACTCATAAGAGCTCGGGTCTGTCTTTGTCCTTCTCCTCTTGACTCATTTTGCTCAGCGTGACTCACTTTCTCCCATTTCCATGCAGTGCACTACAGGGGTTCCTCTTGGCTCTTTGTTGGGTGGTGTGCCGTTGTGTAAATAGACCCCCGTTTTAAAAAGCCACTCTGTTTGGGGGGGGGCACTTGGGTTGTTTGTAGTCTTGGCTATTGTGTGTAGGGCTGCATCGGACATAAGAGTGTGAATAACTTTTTGAAGTAATGTTTCTGTACCGTTGGAGTAGATGGTAAGCAGTAGAATCACTGGGTCATCTGGAGACTCTGCTCATTTTTTTTTTTTTTGAGAACTGGGTTTCATACCATTTCTGTGGAGATTGGACAAGATGGCATTTCCAACAATAGAGTGGATGAAGATTCCCCCCCCCCCTCCACACACACACACACACACACACACACACACACACACACCTGCTGACACTGGTTGTTTTTACAATTTTTAACGTATAATTTTTAATGTTTAATGGAGCGATAGCACAGCGGGTAGGGCGTCTGCCTTGCACGCAGCCAACATGGCTGACCCGAGTTCGATTCCTCCGCCCCTCTCGGAGAGCCCGGCAAGCTACCGAGAGTATTCGATATGCCAGACACAGTAACAACAAAGTCTCCGATGGAGACCTTACTGGGCCCGCTCGAGCAAATCGATGATCAACGGGAGGGCCTTTACTTTACTTAATGTATATCATTCTCACTAGAGTGAGGTGATGCCTTTGTCATTTTAGTTTTTGTATTTCCCGGACTCTTTCAGGTACCTAGTCCTGTTTGTCCTATTCTTATCCTTAGAGACTGGTTTGCAGAGAAAGGAGGAAATCCTGTAGCTGAAATCATTCATCTCCTAATGGAATCAAAGAGCAGCCCCTTCAAAGGTTTCAGCGGAGGAGGTGGTCCTTTCTTCCAAATCTTAGAATATAGAGATTTTGTTTGTTTGTTGTCCCGCCTTTCCCTGCCCCCCACCTCGTTTGGCTCTGCCCAGTTGCTTTTTTTTTCTTTTTTTTTTTTTCTTTTTGGGTCACACCCAGCGATGCACAGGAGTTACTCCTGGTTCATGTACTCAGGAATTACTCGTGGCGGTGCTCAGGGGACCCTATGGGATGCTGGGAATCGAACCTAGGTTGGCTGTGTGCAAGGCAAACGCCCTACCCGCTGTGCTGTTGCTCCAGCCCCCCCCCCCCCCCACCCGGTTGCTTTTCTGATTTGTAAAATTCATGTCCTTTAATAGTAGTTCTGCATTCTGGCCCCTCATGAGTCAGAAAACATACTGTTGCTTGGAAATCTAGCCCCCAAAATTCTGACAGCTAGGTCCGAGGTCGGGCTTAGCATTCAACTCTTCAAAAATACCTCCAGGCAAATCTTTTGAGAGCTACAACCCTATAGACAGCTTTCAGAGGACTGACCTTTTTTTTTTTTTTTTCTGTTTCATTGTGTATTCTCAGATGCCTAAAATATAAGGGATCCTGGTCAGTCTTGGATGCTAATGCAGATATTTAATTATTTATTAAACGCGTCTCATTTTATTTATTTATTTTTACACTCAGGGCTTTTATTTGCGATCTAGAACGTACATCTAATTGAAGTGGAGTATGAGAATAGACTTGCTGGGTCTAAAAGAATCTGAAAGGCTACTCTATAATGCTGTGTTTTTCCTCGGGGATTATAGATCAATAAGGAACTAAGCGAAGGAATTAAGAGGAATTTGTTAAAGGACAAAAAGCAGCCTCCTCGCCGGGAAGCACGGCGGTATTTCCCCCTTTTGTGGCGTAGCTCCCCGTGTCCGTCGTGACGCGGTCATTACTCAGGCCGCCTCCGCTGTGGGCCTCAGCCGGCGCCTCGCCACGAGTTCAAGCTGCTCATTTACTCCGAGGCACATTCGGAGGGTGACAGGTTTATTCTAGTTTTATTTTCTTGGGCTTTCCGTGGCCCTCCGACTGGATCTTTGAAAGAGCCGTTCGCGCCGTGCAAACAGGCAAATATTGAATAGCCGCTTGTTGCATTTGATGAATGCGGAGTCCAAATGAGTGCCGCTAATTAATGTGTTACCCTTCTGAACTCCGGCTTTGTGCTTGGAGCGCGGGGAGGTATTTATCAGGGTGGAGTGGCGGCCGCCCCGAAGCCTGGCTGGGCAGGCACTGAAGCTGCAGACTCCACACACACACACACACACACACACACACACACACACACACACACATACACTCAGCAGAGTAGGAGCTGGGGAGGGGGTTAGAGGGGAATTTTAATTGTGTCTCTGTTACGTTATTTTCTTTTCCTGGTTCTTTTGCTAATCCATCCTCATTAGATAGGGAACCATCCCCAGAAAGAATTTTTTTTGGTTCGTAATACTTTTTTTGTTTCTTTTTTGTTTTTTTTTGTTTTTTTGCTTTTTGGGTCACAGCTGGCGATGCTCAGGGGTTCCTCCTGGTTCTGCACTCAGGAATTACTCCTGGCAGTGCTCAGGAGACCCTATGGGATGCTGGGAATCGAACCCGGGTTGGCCAAGTGCAAGGCAAACACCCCACCCGCTGTGCTATTGCTCCAGCCCCCGTAATGGTGATTTTTAAGAGAGAGAAATTGCGGTCTTTTGATTGCTCGATGGACTGGTTGATATGGGACCTTGAGGGGTGGCACCCACTCGGTGCTCAGGTGGCCCCGAGAGCCTTTACAGCATCACTCAGCCAGCCCGGCGGATGGTTCAGTCCCCAGGACCATGGATGCGG